AAAACACATTTGCTATTACAAACTTTTCTCACGCATCAATCCTTCTGTAGACGAAGAGGTCCTAAGCTATGATATATGGATAATTTGGGATTTTTCACTGATAAATGAGATTACGAACATTGGTGGGAACAGCAATGTTTTTTTGGATTTCCCGAGTCTGGCGTACCAGACCGATTCTACAATATGACTTGTTACAAAGATCGTTAGACAGCTCAAAATAACAACCAGATTATTTTGATTAAAATAAACATATCATACCATTCATAGTCTTAAGGTTTAAGCAGTACTTAGTTGATAGAAATATGACATCACAAATAAATATTAATATTTACCTCATGCAGTCGTCTCTTGTATGTATAGGTATTTTAATATAAAATAAACGAAGTTCGTCAATGTGACAATCGAACAACCATTGTGTTTCCTGACAATAGCACGTAATGTCTATTTCGCGCCCCGCCCTCTTACCTACGTTTAAATTTCGAGTTGAATTAAAAATTACAACCTTATCGTCAGATGTGATCATTTACACAAGAACTTCAGATTTACTAATGAATTTAAGGATAAAATGCATGCCAACATTAAATATAAATTCCATTTATTCTTATTTCATTAGAAGATCTAATGAAACAAGAAACGTATCCGACCCGTAAAGTAATGTATGATGTTTTCTGAAACGTGGCTCAATCCTTTCATTCTTTTTTGTATTTTGGTCGACCATTATCGCAATTTAAATCTTTTCTTCGACAACGCATTCAGAGAAACGAATACAAATTGACGCAGGCAACCGTTGTGAAGTCAATAAGTTGAACATCGTACAGTACGCATGTGCAATAATGAATGTTATTAATACCTTTTTAACATGTTTCTCATGTGACTGCGTTCAGAGCATCCTTCGTTGCGATTACATGTGGCGATAGTGACGCTGATTAATAAAACACAATTTGATGCAAAACGGCACTTCCAATCAAATAACGGTGAATATAAGAAATGACTGTTATCGGCGATGTGACCAAGACATTGACAAGATGTCCAGTATCGCCAAATTACTACCCTATGCAATGAATAATGTATTGTGTCGTCAGTAAATTAAATAATCTATTTTCAGGTCAATTCCCAGTATCAGTATTTCTCAAGTCAAAGAATGTGTTGTACTTTGGTTGAGTTCGGTTCGGGAATTCCGCAAATTTCATTAGCCAGATACCGACTAGGCATTCTTAACAGTGTTATACCATGTATACACGAACTGCAATGTATTTATATGCGAGATTTATATTGCGTGAACAGCGGTATGCGGGAAAGGCGGCCAAGGCTGTTCGATATGACGAAACATTGCTTTCTCTTTCTGTCCTGGGTCTATTTGTGTTCGAGCGTTGAGAATAAAGCGGATTTGTCGGGATTAACCGCAAAAAAAACTAAGTTGGTTATGTTCTATGAAAATTGTTAATTTCAATAGATTATATTTCTTATCTACAACATATTTGTCAATGATTCTGGTACGTTTACTGTTTTATATAGCTACTCCCAATCTAATCGTCTATGGTTTATGGGTAAACCAGTCGGGAATATCAACGGTTAAACTTCACAATTCTATTTCCTATTTTACTGGCTAAATATTCATGGGCTTATAAGTCTAACTGACCCACAGTCCACTTGTTTATTATACTGATTCCTATGGCTAAACCACAAGTATTTTTGTCTATATTATTATTATTATTTACTAGTGTACTAGTCAAGGGTTTATATAGGTATGCAACAACATTGTTTACTGTCATGGTTTATTGGCATTCAGGGGTTTATATGACTAACCCACAATTCATTCGTATATTATTTAAATGTACTGCCAAGCCAGTCATGAAACTGCGTGGCTAGTATTATGGGATGTTATGTATACATCATAATCTACTTGTTCATTAGTCTGTTTTAAAGCAGTCAATGCTCTTTGATATTGCATTACAATCCGTTTTATATTGATATACGAACAAAGCATATATGTCAAAAAATGAGCCAACTTGTCTGTTATTAACATGTGATGATTTCCTAATACTATTGGTATCTATACAAACCATACGATTTTAATTTTTGGCAAGACCAAACTGTAGTGCAGCCATTGTGGTATATCCTAGTATGAGGCAACACGCATTGCAACACATAATAACGATAGATTTTCAACTTATAAATATCAACGATTTATTTACTCTGTACACTGGCGTATGTATAGTTGTATCAGATTTGTAACACGGTGAATACAAAAGTAGTTTCACCAGCTGTCACAACCACCAAGTGCCGTAAGCGAGAAATGTGATATTTATGAAACTCCGTAACGTACGCGAAGACGCACTGGAGAGTGGAGAGTCACTGTGAGAGTGATATAAAGGCGTAGTTACCTGGAAATGTGTAGCGACAATTTTATATTGTATATATATCATTTGTATTTACACGCCATTGCCACTGTGTGTATGAAAGAAACCACATTGCCGCAACTCTCACGATTTTTACCGTTTTTTTTGTGTTCAGACATAATACATTCATGTTGTATTGCGATAAGGTGTTATCCCTTGTCACATCACAAACAGTGTCTCAATCACAACGCTATCATAGTAACAGCTTGCGTGTGCGTTGTTTCCGCTCTTCCGGGTTTACATATCCCATTTAACACAGTGTGTCGCCAGTATTTATTTATTTGTGCAGGTTTTGTGGTTATAAATCAATTTTATTCATACTGTCCAAATGTGAATACACACGCCCGAGTATCAGTACTGGGTGCTTTAAAAAAGGTTTTAAAATTCGAAACTATTGCTGTCTGAGTAAATATGTTACTTTAATGCAATTTGTTTCCACACTAAGTGTGAAGTTTTATGATGTAGGTTTCTTCTTTGCGAGTGAGATCGCTGTCACTGTCACTGTATTGTGTGTTGTCGTGATGTGAAGAGTTGCTCCCCGGATGAGACTAGCAGTCATTCACCCCACCCCGCTCTCCAATATTTTATCCGAGTAGATGTCCGCAAAATTTAACAAATACGACAACGTGATCAAAGTGGGTGAGGTGAAGCCTTATTCGTAGGTTCTGATGTCAGTAGCTACTGAACAAAATCTACCTCCCGTGTTCTAACTAAGAACTAAAGAAACATTGAGGTCAGAAATGTCGCTAAAAGATACAATTGTTAATAAATTGACAATCGGGAATTTTTTTTTTTTTTTTTTCTAATTAAAATGAGAAACACGTGAAAATACATAATAACTGTCGGCAAATTGGATGATTAAACAATATAAATGCCGGGCCTAACTCAATAAACAATGACCCCGTGTAAACAGTATCCCATGGCAGGGTTAGGTCAGGCGACATCGTAAATGCATACATACATATCTGCAAAGCAACCAACTGCAATGTCCTGTGTACGGTGTGTATCCCTGTATGACGTATGCAAATACAATGGTATTTAAGAATATTTGTTACGGTTATCGAAAATAAATACGGAGAAACCAATTCCTAAACTTTGTATATCTAATGCTCGTGACTCAAAGCTACATACCGTGGATACAAATCGTAACCAAGATCGAGTATATATCAGATAATTGTTTATCAATTGGAGCAATTTTGTACGATTTGTCTAATGATAATTTTAAATACACGCTAAAGATAATAATAGAATGAAATAATGCGTACATCGTCTCATCTGCAATGCTACAAAAAGCTCAAGCCCATTAATAGTCAGCGTGACAGGATCTTGGAGATTCTAGTTATTTATTTCATTCATTGTGATAGTTTTATCGCTAACGCCAATCAAAAGCGCTCGTTCTTCAAGGTGTGCTTCCATTCATACAGCCACATAGCTGCGTCAATTAGGTAGCGATCGAGACGATCACAACAGAAGTTAACTAGGAAGTTTATACAAAAGCCATTATGTGAATTATACGTGAGGCGAGGTACAGGAAATTATGTCTATAAACGCTTTGTATGAACGCGAAAATGTGCGTCTTCGGGGGGAGTTATCTCTACTGCTGTGTTTTTCACATTACATCAATCGCTATTAGGAAAGCTATATACCGGGTGTATTGTTCACGAATTGGCTGCATATATCATACGACGACATAGCAGTAAGAGGGCGACCCGTTGTCATTCACCCAATCCACTACGTCTAATTTGGAACTTCCATTTTCTGTATATGGATGTCTGTGTAAGCATACCCGGAGTAATATCAGTCAACATGATTAACTTTAATGACGTATTGCGTCCATGTGACACAATAAAAATGTCTCTCATTATTCAGAGCAACAAGCGAACCTTTGAATATATAAGTATATTATAACGCTCTTATAAAGATAAGTAAACTGTCAACTACGATTCCTAAGTGCTACAGTAGAAAACTATTTCTAGTGTTGCGAACAATGTTAGGTAAAAAAGTGAGATGCAGTAATGCTGAAGCGATAAAATGTCAATGCATTGTAGAGTTTGGGAATTATGAAGACTAAACACCATTTAAACATCAGATCTGTCTGCAATTACATAATAATACACACTGTTCTCATAGTATTTGTATAGAATTTGTTTTTATCGGAAATCAACAGGTGTGTTCTAGTACCATGTATAGCTTATTACAATGGTGCTCTCATGCCCATTACACAACTCATAGAGTATAGATAAATTCTAAAAAAATCCGAGGTATATTATCATTATATTCAAAGTTTTCATGTACTACTTAGGGAGTATCGTCTGATCAGACATGCAAAGAAGGAAAATTTCGAGGACTCAAAGAAACGTACAATATCCACGTGCTAGGCGCCGACAAAATATACGCAGGATTTTTTTAACAAGAATACATACTATATTATAGAAGACGTACCACAAACCGGTCAAGATAAATGATGGAGCTAATGGTGTTCGTTTCCCGGGAGTACAATCGATTTCTGAACTCTGTCCACCTTGAATACTGTTAAATGCTTCTGCACGTTAAAATTCCATAAACGCTGTCTGCGTTCAAATAGTCTACTTAAACCTACGTTTAGATACTGAGAATGGTGGTTTCCACATGAGACGAGAAAGTATTGGAATTCTTGCGTTGCTTCGGTCTGCGTGGCATGTGTATTTGAGTGTTCAGATTGGTTGGCAGACACGTGCACAGAATTTTAATAAACGCTCGCTTAAAATCACGACTGGAAAACGCGTAAATAAATGGATTCACTCCGCTGTTTAAGTATCCTAGCCAGGTGAATAGATTGTAAAGCAGGTCTGCGTTTTCAACGCAAACGTCCCCACAGATGCCGTAGAGAACATTAAGAACGAAGAAAGGCAACCAGCATATTATAAATACTCCCATGACGATACCCAATGTTTTTGCAGCCTTTCTTTCCTTCGCCAGGCGGATGAAACGTTTGCTTATATGTAGCCTTCTAACGGGCATCGCACGATTTCCTCTTCTGATCTGGGAGTCTAAACTGTCAGTCTCGTGTGTGCTGTTGCCATTGACATGGTTGTGCGTTCTGTACGCGGCGCCCCCGCCCCTGTGAATCCTCAAAGTGAGTACGCCGCCTTTGAAATCGGCGTCATTGTTCAGTGTTTTCATGCCTCGCCTCAGGCTTCTCATCTGTATTGCTGCAGCGCGGTAGATTTTGTAATATACAAAAACCATCACGAATAGTGGCACGTAAAACGATATACAGGACGAGAGGATCCTGTAGAGCGTGTCGTCAGTAAATAAGCACACGTTTTTACCGTTATCAATCGGGTCCACAGCACGCCACCATGCTATGGCTGGAAACGAAATCGACATAGAGCAAAACCAAACGAAAAATATTGTGATGTACGCACGTTTGAATGACATCCTGCCAGGATATGATATAGGATCTGTAATTGCCCAATATCTGTCCAGCGATATGACACATAAATTCATTATTGAAGCAGTTGCACTGAGTACGTCAAACGATCGCCACAGATCGCACCATATAACTCCAAACGGCCAGTAACCACCAGTCATTTCGAGTGTGATAGTGAAGGGTATAATTATGGAACCTACCAGGAGATCCGCAACTGCTAATGAAACTATGAAAAAATTGGTGACTGTACGCAAGTAGCTCATCCGCGACACGGCGACCATCACAAGTATATTTCCAAGCACAGTCACCATACAACATAGTGAGAGAAAAAGACCAAGTAAGACCTTCGTAGCGGAAACGGTGGTAGTTACGATGTATTCGTCGGAAGTGAAATTCGAATCGTTACCTCTAATCTGGCTAAAATTGATTGTCACGTTGACTGCGCTGAGATACACAGACAATTCACCCTGGTCGACAAAATAGCCGTGACCTATGGAATCATTATTTCTCATGCTATCATGGCTATACCACTGCTCGTACACACTTTCATTGCCCCAAAATGCTGTCAAGTTGGCGATGTCGCGGTCCAGTGTATTGTTTCCATCGGCCCCATGAAACACTGGCGATGTTATGTTAGCCGTCGAGTTCATTGTTGGTACCTTGTTATTGACGCTGGTCCAGTACGCGCACACAATGTATGACGATCTCCACCTTGTAGGTTTGAAACAAGTCTATCCAACATTACGCATGGCTAAAACAATATACCTTTTTCACAAAAACCTTATTTCTCACTCAAAACGCATATAGCCAGACGAGATCAGCATGTAAGCGTTGTAGAGTGGACGAGCACAGGTTGCTAGATCGCGTGTCAGTGCCCTTCTGGATGTATATCAGTTTCGCTGCTCACAGGAAGTACTGCGGTGGCGTTGTACACATTCCGTTCCAGCCGTTATCGGTAGCCGTGCTCCCAGTATAACGCCGAATGCTCTAATCTTTCCGATTTACACCGGGCAGTCTCAGTCCTTTCAGTTAATTCCGTAATATATAAAACAGATGACAAAATTCGAATAATTCGAATAGAATGGTTGTCCATAGAGTATACTCCAAAGAGTATTTATCATCCAGGAGGGGCAGCGGGAAATTCATGTTCTGCAATACAATCCCTCGCCGAGCTTCAATTTCATAAGATACCTCCTGTAGTTAATTAAATCTGTGGAAATAAGAAAAAATACTAATCAATCGCAGTGGGAGAGTGAAGTATTAGATGTGTGGGTGTCTTCTTAATTGTAACCATTCAGTAATTAATATGTATAATGCCCCAAGTACAAGGCCAAATCAATTACCAATTTATAACATGCAGTACTGAACAGTTAAACAGGGAAAACCAGTTGTTTAGCCGGGAGAGAAATCATAATAATATTGTTATTGTATTGCGTTAATAAAATGCGTACAATGCATAACATATGGGCTCGGATAACTTACAGAAAAACATACGTTAGCGAGGCTTTACATAAGTCTATGCTAAGTCTAGTACTCGTATGGAGAACCCGAAAAAACGAAAGAGTGTGCCGAGCGTCACAGAGACCACTACAACTAAAGGGTTGTCATTGGTCAAACAAGTATTTTAATAAATAAATTTTAATAGCACGTGACTGTGATTGAGGGCGACGCTCCACTGCTACTTTTGATAGGTTGCGGTGCTATCACTTAACATTGACACATGTGTCGTCTTTCCGTGACCTTCGAGTAGATGAAAACACCTTTTATTCTGCTTGCACCCCAGTATTGCTGACTGTAATTGTATAGTAGTTATCGTATAGTAGCAGTAGAAAAATGCAATGATTTTCATGAGAATCTGTTAAAGTACAACGTTGTGACGTTACCATCAGATAATCATTGTTATGAACACTTAATAAAGTGACAATTATGTATGATTTCTTTATTCGGGGACATTGTATAAACAATATAGTTGCACTTTATTAAGTATGTACTGTTGGCTGTGTCTGGTCCGAAGCATAAAGACATTTAGGCTAAAGAAATGGTAAACGTGGCTTTTCCTACATACGGCAGATCAATGACAATATAATGAGGAAATAATACGATACCTATGTCAAGTCAAATACGTGATTTTCGAAAAGTGAGCAAATGTTGTTGTTTTCTGGTCAAACATAGAATAGTTTGACATAATGTGAGCTAACACGCAATGCAGTCACCGACCCCCCCCCCCCACTATTGCTCTGTGCCAGCACTTAAGGAACAAGACATAAACAGCTCTATATGTAACACAGTAAAGAAGGGAATACAATCAATTTGCGGGTCTGCTATTAAGAGTTTCTTTGCTATATGACATGAAACAAAATGATGTTCACTTTGTTAAGTATTGTTTCGTATTAATGAGCAGATGATAGAAATTACAAAAATGTTGAAGAATACATGAACAAATGTTAATCGAAGTGAAGTTGCTGAAACTAAAGAAGTATTGAATACGTAATAATAATAAAATAATAATATGTTTCCTACGTTTTAGAACCATTCAAGTTATAAATAGGGAAGACGTCCACTAAAGAATATATCCCTTTATGTACGAAAGTTACGTCGCAAATTACCTTTACTCGCTTTGCTGGTGTGACCAACATTTCATGTAATGTACAGTGACCTTTTAGATAACTTCCGGTTTAAATCACTACTATACAATACTATACATCACACTTATACAAATCAGTAGACTAGCATTGTGGGGCTAAATTGGTTTATTATTATTTCCCATTAGAACATCAAAGTAAACAATTACACCAAACACAGACATAGAACAATTAGTATGTCGGCATTGGCTTTCCATTTGAGATTATGTGTGTGACGAAATACCTCATGTCACATTAACTTTCAGACTGTCAGTTAATACATCTTTGGCAAACGCTGTTGGCGTTACACGTTTAAGCTTGAAAATATTATACGTATGTGATATATATATATTACCCGGGATAACTACATGAATGTTGTCGCAACGTCCAGCTTAGAGTGCTGTTTAGGAAAGACAGTTTGTTTATCAAGAGGAAATGCCACATATCATAGCGGAAATATTCCAAATTGTCCTTCCTAAAAGGTCAACATAATACTGCGGCTTTGTTTGTCAGCTGGGAATTCACGCCAGATTAGGTTGCTAGCTATCCCTACACGCACATATAAGCATATTAATAGAGACTCATTTAAAAATCAGTTGTCATTCTCCCCGACGGTTACTTCACGTCGAGATTTAATGTTTTTATATAACATGGCTTGATTCAAGTAAAAAAAACAATAATCATATTTTAATTATCATATAAAATTAACATTTACAAAGAAATTCTATTAACCTCGAATATCAAAGTTCATTGACTTTGACATCAAACAATTCGTTCATGCCATTTTCGGTCCAAAAATAAGCAAAATACATATGTCACATATATTATTGCAATGTTTATCGTACAAATTAGTTGTTCTTGTTATAATTGCCGGTATATTAACTGAATATTATTCACATAGTAGCAAAAGCGTGCGTTTGGGATTTGTTTTAATCTAAAAACCGTGGGAATATAATTCATTCCTGCTGGCTTCTCAGAAGGCGTATGTTATCAATCTCTTGCCAAGTAACACATTAACATAAATAGCATTTCTTTCATCGGAAGCCATTTAAACATTTAAATGGCGATAGATCACGCTACACACTATAACCTTAACATACCTACAGAATGAAATCAATCAGAAATACGTCCCTGGCACAAAATGAGAGAGATTTACATAGTGGGTAACAGTTCCCCATGGACTATGAAATAACATGCCTGCTTTACTGGCTGCATTCCATTGTTTTTATACTGGTCCATTCTTTACCTGACACACTATACATACGCCTGTATGAAACCAGTATTTTTAGTTCACTAACTAAACTCATAATATAATAACATATCCTACTACGAATCAAGCACGAAATCTGATCTTTGTCAACCCCTGTGTCGGTGTTATACGTTTTTTCACACACGCAGTGATGGCAAAGGACACGATTGAGTCATGGTATGTGAAAGCTATTGTGCTAATGAATGTACAACGTGCACATGTAACTGATAACCAAACAAATCTCCTCTGCTATTAACAAGATAATTCTGAATCATTTTTTTTCGATGTACCATAAGGAACTTTGGTCACATTCCTTCTTTGTATTATCACCAGCGAGATGAAAAATTATCAATCGAATTAGGCCCATTTACAACAGCACCGTACCGATAATAAAAGGATTAGTAAATACGCCTTTGTGTGTCGGCCTCGACTCAATTGTAAACTATTCCCGTATGTAACATATGTGCCGTGAACGACGTATGGCCATATCTGATCCGATATTACATACAGGGCACACCGAGTGTAGGTGATTATAGTCTTTCACAATAAAAATATGAACAGACAAAATATACAGAAAAAATGACTACAGCCAACATATTCTCCTTATATAATATCGTTTCAATGATTATATGGTCAATTTAAGAATTATCAATGAGCGACGAATTAGTCAAATCACCATTTATGTCAACTGAGTATAATCTGTAATCTGCAGTATTTAATTCACCATTCTCACTTTATTAAGTGGTGCAATATATTTACGGTTGAGAGATGTCTAAGGTCAGTGAGGTAGTTCAGCTGAACTAATTAAGACTAGAAAATGTAATTATCACCTTCTGAGTGTTTTGTTCTCGTATTGTTGTTAATATGAGAAAGAATCGTCGGGAATTATCCAAAAGTATACGGAATTTATTTGAATATTTGTTCAATGTTAGTTTTCATTTACTTTGCATTGTTGACAGTTAAATTAATATTTAATAACATTATACTTTTCACTCTGTGAAGTGCCTTCTTGATGTTATTCAAAAAGCGCATAAAGAAACTGATAGAGTGAAAGACTTGTTGAAAGATGTGTCTTCTTTTAATTAGTCTGATTCTAGTTTCTAACGATGCGAAACGCGGAAAGAAGGGCATTATTGATCTTTCTTTCAATTTTTTTGCAAAAAGATATTGGAGTTGAGGAATCATACCACAATTTGTCTATTTTTCAAATGTCACATCGATTCATAGATGCAACACAATTGTTTTTCAAAAATCAGGTCATCGAACTAGTGACTATGGTAACGGGATATTGACTGTAGTAAATAGTACTTAACAGAAACTGTTATATCACACTTATTTAAAGCATATATATTCCATTACTTATATTTAAGGTTGAACTATTCTAATCAATACAAATATTATACTACCAGCAGTAATATGTTATTATATATTATTCAAATTATTTTGTTTTCCATTTTTTCCATCTTCTCCAAAACATCTGAACTGTCTATTTGTTCTTACTGTGCATAACTTAATGAGATATACATTTTTGTATTAGTAGTTAATCCCATATATATATATATATATTAGTAAGAAGTATATATATATAATGGTCATTATAATGTTGGTATATTTGTTGCTAGATTGTGGAATGAAGTCCATTTCATTATTATGCAAATAGAATACAACATCCTCATTAAATCATTTTTGGAAGGTGCATTTTTGAATTAAAACACTCTTCGAATATGATGTATGTTATTAATATGTTACTAAGGGTGTAAAAATTCAGATAATCTGCCAC